AGACAACCATATGATCTACTGTGCTGGGAATGACAAATTGAAGAGGAATGGTGTGACATTCATAGTCACAAAAAAAAGTTCAAGATCTATCCTGAAGTGCAATGCTATGAATGATAGGATAATATCTATATGCCTACAAGGAAGACAAGTTAATACCTCTATTATTCAAATATACACACCAACAACCAAAGCCAAAGATGAAGAAATTGAAGATGTTTTATTAACTTTTGCAGTCTGAAATTGAAGAAACATGCAATCAAGATGTATTGATTATTACTGGTGATTGGAATGCAAAAGTTGGAAACAAAGAAGAATCACCAGTAGTTGCAAAATATGGCCTTGGTGACAGAAATAACATCAGAAATAGCATGATGGAATTTTGCAAGACCAACAACTTATTCATTGCAAATACCTTTTTTCGACGATATAAAAGGTGGCTATACATATGGACCTTGCCAGAGGAAATGCACAGGAATTAGATCAACTACATCTGTGGAAAGAGGTGATGGAGAAGCTCAATATTTTCAGCCAAAACAAGACCAGGAGCTGACTGTGGAACAGACTATCAACTACTCATATGCAAGTTCAAGTTGAAGCTGAAGACAATTAAAACAAGTCCATGAGAGCCAAAATATGACTTTGATTATATCCCACCTGAATTTAGAGACCATCTGAAGAATAGATTTGATGCATTGAACATCAATGACTGAAATCCAGACTAATTGTGGGATGACATCAACATAGTCCACAGAGAAAGCAAAAGGTCATTAAAAAGTCAGAAAAGGAAGAAAAGACCAAATGGATGTCAGAAGAGAGTCTGAAATTTGGTCTTGAATGGAGATTAGCTAAAGCAAATGGGAAAAAAATGACAAAATAAAAAACTGAACAGAAGAATTCAGAGAGCAGCTTGAGAAGACAAAGTCAGTTATTTTAATGAAATGTGCAAATACTTGGAGTTAGAAAACCAAAAGGGAAGAACACAATCAGCATTTCTCAAGCTGAAAGAACTGAAGAAAAAATTCAAGCCTTGAGTTACAATATTGAAAGATTCTATGGGCAAAGTAGTGAATGATGAAGGAAACTTCAAAAGAAGATGGAGGGACTACACAGAGTCACTGTACCAAAAAGGATTAGTCAATGTTCATTTAATTCAGGAGATGGTATATGATCAAAAACCAATTGTATTGAAAGAAGAAATAGAAGCTGCACTGAAAGAATTGGTGAAAAACAAGACTCCAGGAATTAATAGAATACCCACTGAGATATTTCAACAAATGAATTCAGTGCTGAAGACATTTGCTCATCTATGCCAAGAAATTTAGAAGACAGCTAACTGGAAAAGACACATATTTGTACCCATTCCAAAGAAAGGTGATCAAACAGAATGTAGAAATTATTGAACAATATTACTAATATCACACTCAAGTACAATGTTGTTGAAGGTAATTAAAAAACGATTGCAGGAGTATATTGCCAGGGAACTTCCAGAAATATGGATCTTGAGTGAAAGCAAAGAATATCAGAAAGATGTTTTCTTGTGTTTTATTGAATATGCAAAAGCATTTGACTGTGTGGATCATAATAAATTATAGATAATATTGAGAAGAATGATAATTCCAGAACATTTAATTGTGTTCATGAGGAACCTGTCCATAGACCAATATGTTGTCGTTCAAACAGAACAAGGGAATACTGCAGGGAGTGCATCAGGGTGTATCCCAATGAATGGTGAGGAAGAACATGGCATCAGGATGGATGCTTATTAACTTATTAACAACCTGAGACATGCAGATAATATAACCTTGCTTGCTAAAAGTGAAGGTGAGTTGAAGCACTTACTGGTTAAGGTTAAAAACTACAGTCAGCAGTATGCATTACACCAACATAAAGAAAATGTAAATTCTCAAATCTGGTCCAATAAGCAGTATCACGATAAATGGAGAAAATATTAAAATTTTCAAAGATTTCATATTACTTGGTTACACAATCAACACCAATGGAAGCAGCAATCAAGATATCAGATGACATATTGCACTGGGAAAATCTGCTGCAAAAAACCTATTTAAAGCACTGAAGAGCAAAGATGTCTCTTTGAAGGCTAAGATGTGCCTAACCCAAGCCATGGTGTTTTCAGTTGCCTCATAGTCATTTGAAAGCTGGACAATGAATAAGGAAAACCAAAGAAGAGTTGATTGTTTTGAGTTGTGGTGTTGGTGAAGAATCCTGAAAGTACCATGGACTTCCAGAAGAACAAAAATCTGTCCTGGAAGAAGTGCAGCCAGAATGCTCCTTTGGAAGCAGGAATGGCTAGACTTTGTCTAACCTACTTTGGTCATGTCAGAAGGGATCATTCTATCTGTGTTTCCTTCTGTTGGACATAGGGTAGCTATGAGTTGGAGCTGACTCCACAGCACCTAACAACAACAACAACATATTTTAAAACTGAGAAGATATAAAATCCAGAGATCATTGGGAAAACACAAAGTTCTAACGACTGAAAATGGAAAACATAGAATCTAAAGCCATATTTTGTGACACCAATCACAGCATTCTTTGAAATATATTTTGAGGTTTTATATTACCACATTAACTGAAATCATGTGTATATCACTTGCTTTATGTTTAATTTTCCTGGGATGTGAAGAAAATAAATATCCTCAAAATTTTCTTGGGTTCAAAAATGCTGATTTTAGGTAGATTATTCTAGGCTTGCGGTCATTGTCTTTTCCTATCAAAGACTACTGATATTAAAAACTCTCTCTAAAAAAGTATCGCATTCCGCACAGCTCTTTTTTAAGCAATTGCAAATCTGAATTAAAAGCAATATGAGTAGTTAATATAAAAAATAATTTTTAAATATATGAAGAGAGAATGCTCTGGAAAGTGACAATTTCAACTTTCACTTTAGTTAATACAGACTAACCCTCCTTTTATACCACATTTCTTTTGCTAAATATGACCAGAAATAAAGGTTATAGCAGTGAATCTTGAAGCAGAGTTAGGAGAAAAACTCATTCTGTACTCCACATAGTTTCAATTTGAACTAACAGATTCAGAAAAAAAAAAAAAAGCAATCCTTATTTTGGCCAAAAATAAACTCTATTATCCTTAGTTACTTGCTTATTCTTGCTGAAATCATCATAAAACATTTATTGAGAGCTTTGTAGAAATTAGTCATGGTGCTAAATTATATGCCTATGTATTCTCATGAAAATTCCAGACATATATTAAATATTTAATGTATGTTGGCCATTGTTATTTTAGCCATGTGAAATAGAGTCTAAATTTTTTAGGAAAGAAGAATCCAGAATGAGAAATGTTACTGAAAGCATGTTATGTAAATAATGACTAAAGTACCTAGCATTGTTTAGATCTTGGGAGAGACATAGGGATGTATAGAACAAATACCCCCACATATAAGGATGCTCATGAGAATGAAGAAAAATATCCTCTGTTTCTCTGAGGGATGTAGAATACTTCTGTTTTTCTTGTTGGTCTGAAGCAATGTATTCTTATCTTATTTTTTATTACAATTTATAAAAGTAAACGCCAAAAATATAGATTCCAATTGTTGTGGATAGGTGCCATCGAGTTGTCTCTGACTCATAAGACCCTATATACAACAGACTGCTTGGCCCTGCAGTATTCTTCCAATCATTGCTGTTTGGGCCCACTCTCACTACTGCAGCCATTATGTCCATCCATCTCATTGAGGATCTTCCTCTTTTTTGTTTACTGTCTTCTTTACCAAACATGGGACTGGTCCCTCCTAGATAAGATATCCAAAGCACATAAGATGAAGTCACAGCAGAGTGCCTGAGGCATTTGGCTGCTAATCAGAAGGCTGG